TGGATTGATGCGCAAAGACGTAGAATATATTCCAGAGACCAACCAAGTCTATGAGCTAACTCAGCAGTCTCAAGGCACCATGAGACCTGAATCTGTCCTTGACTATGGTGGGGGCGACTTTATGCAGGCTTCTGGCTTTGTCAAAGTGCTAGACAGGATCACCATGATCATTATCATCATGAGAGGCATGGTCACAGGCATCTGGTCACCTCCAAGGTGATCCTTAGGACTACAGAGCCCCACTGGGTAGCCATAAAACATAGAAGCTGTGTGACAGAGGGACATAGAAATAGCAACCTTAGAGAGCAAAAGTGGGGTGACTAAAGGAATCAGGGGGAGGTGGCAGTCAAAAGCAAGTCCCTGGAGAGGCATTGCAGGTAGCACAGCTTGTGCAGTTAGCAACAGGAAACAACTCAGATGACTCCAGCTAACCAACAGAGGTCAGGGTCCAGGGTGTCCACCTAGTCCAATGTAGCTGAGTCATCTACGGTCAGACCCTTCCATGGCCACAAGTCCTTAAAGGGGATTCTGAGGCATAAGCAGGTCTGTCTTTGGCCAGGTAGAGCCAAAGTGCTTCAATACAGGACAAGGATGGTCTTTGTGCATATGCCACCTCAAAAATCATCAAATCTGGCCAGGCACAGTGGCTCATACCTGTAATCCCAGCACTTTGGGAGGCTGAGGTGAGTGGATCACCTGAGGTTAGGAGTTTGAGAACAGCCTGGCCAACATGGTGAAACCCCATCTCTACAAAAAAATACAAAAATTAGCCGGATGTGGTGGCGGGCACCTGTAATCCCAACTACTTGGGAGGCTGAGGCTGGAGAACTACTTGAACCCGGGAGGCGGAGGTTGCAGTGAGCCGAGAGCACACCATTGCACTCCAGCCTGGGCAACAAGAGCAAAACTCCAACTCAAAGAAAAAAAAAATCATAAAATGAAAATGTTGCAGGAGTGGTACGACACAGTGCAAGTCAAGGGCTCTTGGGGCATTGTTTCCTTTCAAGGTCAGGGGGCTTCTTATGCAAAATCCACACCTGTGTTACTATGAAAAAAGAACATTTTTTTCTACATCAACCCAGAGATAATGATTAATTATAAAGAAAGAATGAATAAAGCTATGAACTGATTCCTTATGAATCCAGGTTTCTTCCTACATGAGGACTCTAGAAATTTTATCTTAGATACTTCCATTTTGCAGATAAGGAAACCATAGTTAAGATATATTTAAATAGCTTTTCTTTGATATGAGTGAAGTACTAGTGAGGTTTGATTCTAGTTTCATTTACTTAAAAACATTATCCAAGTGCAATATAAAGGGTGTTTATTATAATTGATAAGACAGTGGTGACATGGCAGAAATGGATACATTTGCTTTAAAACAATAAAATGAGATTCCCCTTTCTAAAGAAAATGTTCAAAATTGCCTAAACTTAAATATAATACAGAACTCAAAAGAATTCCTTTAGACCCTGTACTATATGGGAAATAAATTCTATGACAGGTAATAATAAAATAATATATTGGTCTAAGTCAACACTTCATGTGTTGCAGGCAAGTTGAGTCCCTCAGGCTCTATAATGGCCATTCCAAGACCCAGAACCATGTAGAATGTTAACTGAGGACCTTCTCCCTTTGCAACACTTCTCCATTTAGTCCATGTTTGAATCTAAACCAGAGGATTTTAAAGTGTAGTTCCAGGACTGGCAGCCTCAACATTACCAGCACCATGAGGGAAATTGTTAGACAAGCAAATTCTTGGGTCACTATTGAATCAGAAACTCAATGGACAGGACCTGGGAACTTGATTTAACAAGCTCTCTAGATGATTCTGATGCACCCTGCTCTAACCATTGAGAACTACTGCTGTAAACATTGCGATGGCAAGGTCTCAGGCCCAACAAGGCCCACAGTATGACTCTCAGGCCCTGGTGGTGAACATGCTTGAATGAGATTGGTCTGTGAAAATGAAATCTGGCTCCATGTTGCTGAGGTCAATGCAGTATGTGCATGAACACATTTCCATGGATATGTAAACAATTAATGCCAAGATAGTTTACTACTAATGAAACAACATTAGAGTGTCTTAGTCCATTTTGTGCTGCTATACTAGAATATGACAGATTGGGCAATTTACAATGAAAAGAAATTTATTTCTCACAGTTCTGGGGGCTCAGAAGTCCAAGATTGAATGGCTGGCATCTGGTGAGGGCCATCTTGCTGCATCATCTTATGGCATAAGACAAGAGGGCCAGAGAAAGCGAGAGTGAGAAAAGGTGGCTGAACTTATCCTTTTATAAGGAACCTACTCCTGCAATAAAGGCATTAGTCCATTCATGAAGGCAGAGCCCTCATGACCTAATTGCTTCTCATTAGGCCCCACCTCCCAACACTGTTGTATTGAGTATTATGTTTCCAACACATGAACTTTGGGGGACACTCGAACCACAGCATTCTGCCCTGGCTCCAAATTCATGTTTTTCTCACACATAAAACATATTCATTCCATCCCAATTGCTCCAAATTCTTAACTTGTTCTGGTGAAAGTCTAGGGTCTCATCTAAATCAGATATGGGTGAGACTCAAGGCATAATTCATCCTGAGGCAAATTCCCCTCTAGCTGTGAGCCTGTGAAATTAACAAGTTCTCTTCCTCCAAAATACAATGATCGGTCAGGCAGAGGATAGACATTCCCATACCAAAAGGGAGAAATAGGCAAGAAGAAAGGAGTAACAGGCCCCAAACAAGTCTAAAACTCGACAAGGTAAACAATACTAAATCCTAAGACTTGAGGATAATCTTCTTTGACTCCATGTCCTACTTTCTGGGCATACTGATGTAGAGTTTGGAACCCTGAGGCCTCAGGAACAGCCTTGCCCCCATGGCTTTGCTAGGCTTAGCCTACATAATTCTCACAGGTTGGAATCTCATGTCCATATCTCTTAGGCTCGAGTTGCATGCTGCATGCCCATAGCTCTCCTGGGCTGGAGTTGCATGCTGGTAGTTGTATAGTTCTAGGACTTGGGGGCATCCCCACCCTGAAGGACTCCCCTAGGCCTAGTGAGGACTCTCTGCTATGGCCGTGACTCCACACTTCTGCTGGGCATTGTCCTCCTAGGCGCTCTCTGTGGCAGCTCTACCCCAAGACAAATCTCTGCCTAGGCCCTCTGGTTGTCCGCAACACCCTTTGAAATCTAAGCGGAGGCTGCCATGCCCTCACAGCATGTGCCTACAGAATTAGCGCCACCAAAGTTTAGAGCTTGTACCTTTCAGAGCAGCAGGTTGAGCTGCACCTGGGCTCCCTGGAGCCACAGCTGAAGCATCCAAGGAGAGTGATGCTGGAATTCAAGGAGCAGAGTCCTGAGGTGGCTCTGCTCACTGGTCCTGTGTAGAGCACACTGGGGAGTCACCCCAAACCACTCTGCTCTCCTGGAGCCCTGGGCCTGTGATGAGAGAGGCAGCCTTGAAGGTCACTGAAATGCCTTCAGGGTCATTTTCCTGTTGTCTTGATTACTTGCACCTGGCTTCCTTCTGGCTGTGTTAATCCCCTTTATCAAAGGGTCACTTGGCTGCACCCTTGCAAACCTTTTTATTCTTTACGTAGCCAGGCTGTGAGTTTTGCAAATTTTATATTGCTTCTCTTTTACTTATAAATTCCATCTTTAAATCATTTATCTCTTCTTTCATTTTACTATATGCAGTTAAAAGAAGCCATGCAGGTCCTTCAATATATTGCTTAGAAATTTCTTTCACCAGCTATCCTGGTTCATTGCTCTTAAATCTGCCTTCCATAAAGCCCTCCAGCATGGACACAGTTAAGCCAAGTTCTTTCTGACTTTATAATGAGGATGGCCATTACTTCAGTTTCTGATACCTTGTTCCTCATTTCTGTCTGAGACCTCAGGAGAATGGCTTTTACTGTTCATATTTTCACTAATATTCTGACTATGACCACTTAAGTAATCTCTAAAAAGTTTCAGCCTTTCTCTATAGTTCTTTTCTTCCTCTGAGCCCTAACCAGACTCGTCTTTCATACTCCATTGTTACAGCAAGACCAGCTGTTTCTAGCTTGTTCCTTCAAACTCTTCCAGCCTCTGCCCAATTACACAGTTCCAAAGCTGCTTCCCCATTTTCAGGCATTTGTTATAGTAACAGACCCACTTCTTGGTACCCATTTTCTTTCTTAGTCTGTTTTGTGCTGCTATAACAGAATACTACAGACTGGGTAATTTATAATAAACAGCAATGTATTGCCTCATGGTCTGGAGGCTGGAAAGTACAAGACAGAGGGGTTTGCATCTTGCAAGGGCCTTCTTGCTGTGTCATCTCACGGCAGAAGGTGAGAGGGCAGGAGAGAATGAGAGAGAAAACGGGCCCACATTCATATTTTTATAATAAACCCACTCCCACAAAATTAATGGCATTAATCTATTCACAAGGGCAGAGCCCTTATGGCCAAATCACCTCTTATTAGGCCCCACCTCCCAGCACTGTTGCATTGGGGATTACATCTCCAACACAAGAACTTTGGGGGATACCTTCAAACCATAGCAGACAGCCTAAACCATTTCTTTTGGCTATTCCTAATCCTTCTTTTCCTGGACTATTGGCAGAAGTTGTTCATGCATGAAAGGAAAACTGGTTTACTTAAACCAGGATTTCTCAGTCTTGGCAACATTGACATTTTAGGCCAGAAAATTTTTGTTGTAGGGAGCTGTTCTGCATTGGAGGATGTTTACCAGCATCCCTGGCCTCTATCCACCAGGTGCCAGTAGCAACTCCCCTCCCCATCTACACCCCCCACAAGTCTTGACAGTCAAAAATGTTTCCAGACATTGCCAAATGTCTCCTGGTAGTGAAATTGCAGCTGGTTGAGAACCACTGACTTAAACCAAGGCAGTTCCTTCAAAGTGGTAACCAAGGGAGAATGTGTCCTGGAAAAAAATAGTCAAGCTGATACAAGCTGGAGCAGGCTCCCAGCAGCTACAGGGGTGACTCACATTGTAGGATCGACCATGCCTCTGTCTCCACTGAACCAGCACTATCTGGGCAATGACCAGAATGCAGAGGAAGATCAAGATCATTTCCATGTGCATGGATTCGTGGCCCCGGTGCATCTTGTACATCCTCTCCTGCTGCAGGCTGGAACCGGCAAATGAGGTCATCTGATAAAGCCCTCAACCTTGTGCATTTAGCCAAAAAACAACAACAACAAAAACAACCAACAAAAAAACAACAACAAACAAAAACAAAACAAAACAAAAAAACGGGTTTGGCTCACAAAAAGCAACAGGGGGTTTCAAAGGTAAGGGTTGGTAAGTTTTGATTGGAAAGTTTTTCTTGGTTTCTTCCCTTTCCCTAGATCTGGAGAAGGAGCAGCTGGGAGGAGGAGCCTGACTCTCTTAGTAAAACTAGTTCCTTTGCTTTCCCATGTGGTTGGCCTCAGCTTTGTCTTTTAAGTTAAGTGATGGGGCTAAAAAAACTAATGAGCCCCAGGAAGACCTGGGTTCCAGTCCCTGATCTGCCACTTCATTGCCTCACAACCTTGGGGAAGTCATTTATCCTCTCTGAGCCTCAGTTTCCTCATTTCCAAATTTCAAATAACCATCCTTCTGTAACTGACAAGGTTGTTGTAAGACTATAAAGCACATGTTATTGTATTTGTATCTACATGAGGAATAATTATTATTGAGCTGCATCATATGAAACATCAATTTTTGAAAGTCAAAAACAGTCCAATGTTGGTCATTTTAAATCATTTGCTACTATTCCAAGTAAAAGGATACCCTGCAGATGGTGCTTATGCCAGAGGAGAGAATATTATCCATGGGGCAATGGAAAGCTTTTGAATGAGTTGTATAAATTGTTACAGAACTATTATATAGAGAAAGAATAGGCTTAAGTATTATCTTAGACACGCACAAACGTTCCCGTGATGGCTGAACGTTACCATTTTAGTTGGATGCTTAGTTTTGCACAATTGTAGAGAAAATCAACAAAATACTTTGTCACCTGGTTTAACGTTCTGGAGTAGCCTTGATGAGAACCTAGAGCAGTGGTTCTTGACCTTGTCTGTAAGTTAGGAATCGCTGGGAAGCTTTAAAAAAACCCTTAACCCCCCATATCCAGATCAATTAGATGACCATTTCTGGGTGTTAGGGGGCTGAACTGCACCCTCTCGAAATTCATACACTGATATCCTGGTCCCCTGTACTTCAACATACCAACCCAAACCTGCCAGCACTTTAATCTTGGACTTCAGCCTCTAGAACTGCGAGAAAATAAATTTCTGATTTTTAAGCCACCTATTCTGTGGTATTTTGTTATGGTATTCCTAGCAAATTAATACAGATTTTCAGGATGGGATGTGACATCAGGAATTTTTCAGGCATCCCATGTGATTTTAAGGGGCAGCCAAGATTGAGAACCACGAGCCTAGAGGAAGAGAAAGAGGCCCAGGGTCAAGATGAGTGAACATGGGGAAAAACTATGAATGCTGTCAGTTACTTTCTGAATATTGGTTATCATTATCTTTCATCCCTAGTGTGGCACCATCAGTCACAAAATCTCTTAAAGTTTCCACTTACATCTGGTTACAGTATGCAGTTAGCTAGTGTACCACCCAGAAAACACCGCAGGGTAAGTCTGTGCCATGAGATAGTGACCTTTTAAAGGCACTTGATGGGTATGTGGGTTGGGTTCTCTCCCTCTGCCAGCATTTCTACAGCTACTCCAAAGAGCAGTGAATGTTTCAGAAAAGGGTCTCATCCAAATCCCAAGGGTGCCCCCTGCTGGAAAAGGTGTGGAAATCAGCCCACAGAGCCCAGTAAATACTACAGCTGAAGTTCAGTTTCTTTGAGAGGGATTCTCAGAATGTCAGTGCTGGAAGTTACCATAGATGGAATGAATCTCCTTCATTTATCAAATGATGAAGCTGAAATCCATATCAGGTAAGCAACTTGAATAAAATTACATGGCTATTAGTCTCTGTATTGGAAGCTGAGCTCAGGAGACAAGAATGATTTCTAGAAGCTCATTTAAACAAACAAACAAACAAACAAAAAACCAAACTTGTTCCCCTGAAGAAATGGGAAGAAAAATGAAAAACTACAAGTGCTTAGTTGTGGTTTATACAGCTCCAAATCTAAAATAGCTTTTTAATATTCTAAATAATTAACAGACTTTGAACTTAGGGCATATAGATAAAAGAGTGACTTCATCATCAGTCTAAAATAGGACTTGCATAGATATAAAATATACTTTATGAGATTATTAATCTGTTATATCAGATTAATCTATTATAAAAATGCATCTCAAATTGGTTAGCCTATGTTGAAGTACTTTGAAAAGTATATATTGGTGTACAAATGTAGTAAGTATTTTCTTTTTTGAGTAGGAATGCATCCAAAATTGACTCCTGTAATACAAAAAAGGAGGAGCTTTTCATTCTTATTTCACTTCATGTGGCACTCACAGGGCCCAATGGCCCTACAGTATGTACCAGAACACAGGGGCAATGTGTGTAGGAACAAAACCGGTGTATGTTGTGCCTAAAATAAATAGTAACTTGTGCCTAAAATAATAGTAACTTGACACAGCCATATTTTGAAGGATATATTAATCCAGCTTTGTGTGACTGCATGATCTTTTCCTATGGATCATGCTGTAGAAAACAGATGAAATCCATGTGTTTTGGTCTATAGTATTTGTGTATCCTACCCCATCTCTATCCTGGAAAATTTACAAATAAAATTATGACTTCATTCAATTTCTCAACTGTTAAGATAAAAATCTAATTTTTAGCAAAACAACTCTTAAAAAATACTAATTACTTACTTCCACGCATCTTCTGCAGAAAGCTTTGTATGAGAGATCTGAAAAACACAAAAAGGGCCCTTATCAAAAAACATCTTTGTTTTCTTGGTTTTTCTGTTAAAACCAAGACCATGTTGAAACTCAGACCATGAAAAATAACAGCATCACATAGTATTTGAATAATTTGGGATAAAAGTTCTAGTAAAATAATTTGCTTACAGAACTAAAACAACATGAAACAAACAAACAAAAAAAGAGTAATCAGGTCACTATTAATAAGTATTTGATCCTGTTCCTGGATCAGAGAATCAGATGAGGCTCCATTTCAATGGTTCTGTTTTGGCAAATCAGTCAAAGTTACAGAGAGTGGTCTCCCAACAGGCCATGCTACTCTGGCTTCTAGGATATGAAGTGTGAGTCTGAGCATCCCTAAAAAACATCTGTTTTGCTGATATCTTAAATGATTGCATTGAGTAAATATCTCCAATCTCAGTGAGTAAATATCATTTCCAAGTTCAAAGTTTCAGAGACAGAGCTGCCCAGAGGCTCCGCTGATTTGGAGCATTCTTACATTCTCCTGCTAAGAAGGCATCATAACTGACCCCAGGAAAGGGAGTAATCTGGGCTCGTTGCCTTACAAATTGAGCTGGAAAGCACAGAGATCATCTCCAGAACTGTGCTTTTTGGACGACCTACAGAGTCCACCTATGGACTACCTTTTCTAGATTATTGCTAACCCACTACATCTGGTCATTTGAAACCTTTAAGGCCAATCATTGGAAAGACATAATCGTGTAACTTTGATGGAGAGCACAGAAGAGCAGACAGCCAATGTTTTTGCCCCCAAAGTAGAACTTAGCAGAAAGGGACCTGTGGAACAAAGGAGGAGATTCATGCAGCTTGATTACCTGAGGTTGCTTCATTCTTGGAACTCAATACTTGAGCCCAGCTGTTGTGACTTCCATTTGAATATTAGGGACCCACCTGGTGGGACCACCTGGGGACAGGGAGCCATTGAGAAGTTGCCAGTATTATCCCCTATGCCATCCCCTTCTTCTTTCCTGGCATCACCCAGAAAGGTCCTAGCATTGTGCAAATACTGCCTAAACATATACTTTTCTATTTCATCCAAAGCCTTGTTCTCTCTTAAATGTGTGAAAGAAAATCTTAAAAGTACTAGAAGAAAACATGGATAAACATGTTTATAATTCTGCAGTGGAAAAGGCATTTTTAAGTATAATGTAGAGCCCAGAAATTATAAAGTTAAAAAAATGACAGATTTTGAGGACATTTAAAATAAAATGCATTATAGTCCTCAATATTTGAAAGACAAATTGAACTGGGGAAAGCATAACATATGTGAGGGGCAAAAAGCTAATAAGCATATGTGAAAAGGGCTTTTATAATTTAATCAAAAAGAGACCGATTGTCCAAAAGGGCAAGGTACATGAATGAGAAATTCACGAATTGAGATATACAAATGACCAATTTACGGAAAGGTGTTTAAACTCACTAGTAATAACTGTGTTTAAAAAAAAAAGTAAAAATGAGGTCTTTTATTGAAACATGTTAAATAAAAAAAGTGCACTTACCTCCTCTCCCTCCCCAAACACCACTAGAACAATAGCAAAAGGATATAAGCCTCCAAGTCCAAAGAGAATGAGAGAGGAGTCCAGAGCAGCCAATTCTGAAACTACCAGTAGATGGGCCAGCAGAAAGGGACACTGGGACACCATAGGGCAAAAGACACCGAAGCCCACCAGCATGTGGGCAGTGCAGAGCAGAATGTGTGTGCAAATACCCTCAGGAGGGCTGTGGCTTGCAGGGTCCTGGGGTGTCTAGAAGTGGGGGATGCAACTGGGATTAGTAAAAAAAGGTTCACCGAAAGTCAGTTTAAGGTTTGGAGGCCCCCACACTAGCAGAATACTAGTGGTTAAACCAGAGGCACCGGCAGAGAGGCACCAGGCATGTGGAGGGAGAGCAGAGGACACTGGCAGCCCTCACCTGAGTCTAGAGAGCCCTAGCACCATCCTCCCTGGCAGCATCAACTCTAGATCAGGCTGTAGGGGCCCTGCCTTGCTTTAGAGGACCCCAGACATCTCAAACCCTAAAACGCAAAATAACTGTGTTTTTATCTTTTCTTTCTCTTTTCTGTGTTTTTATCTCTCTCTTTTTTTCTTTTCGAGGTGGAGTCTTGCTTGAGTGTAAGACTAGACTCCAGGCTAGAGTGCAATGGTGTGATCTTAGCTCACTGCAACCTCCGCCTTCTGGGTTCAAGTGATTCTCCTGCCTTAGCCTCTTGAGTAGCTGGGACTATAGGCACCCAACACCATGCCTGGCTAAATCTTTCTATTTTTAGTAGAGACAGGGTTTCACCATATTGGCCAGGCTGGTCTCGAACTCCTGACCTCAGGTGATCTGCCTGCCTTGGCCTCTCAAAGTGCTGGGATTACAGGCATGAGCCACTGTGCCCGGTGTCTTTTCTGTCTCTTAAGAAAATATTTTGAAAGTCTGGTAATTGATTGAGTGAGTAGACCCTAAATGGAAAGAGATGATGTAGGGCTGACACCCCAGGGGACTGGCAGGTTGGGGAGAAGAAAAAGAATAGCCTGTGCTCTGGGAAACTGGAGATAAAGTTTTGAAATTTGGCCATCCCACACCATCTAAGTGGGATCTTGGTTGATGAGGCTCCTCAATTAACTGCAGTGAGGTAGTCTGGGAGCAGCTTGGAACTGCTTGGAAATCCCAAGTCTGAAAAGTGAGGTATGTGGTGGGAGATCCTATCTACCACAGCTTCCTTGGGAGTCACTGAGGTCAGTCCGCATCCCTGGTTTAGGCACTGTAGTGGGTTGAATTGTGTCCTTCCAAAAGATATAGTTTGAGTTATAACCCCCAGTACTTGTGAATGTGATCTTATTTGGCAATAGGGTATTTGCAGATGTAATTGAGGACCTCAGAATGAGATCATCTAGATTTAGGGCAGGTCCTAAATCCAATGACTAGTGTCCTTACAAGAGAAAGTAGTGGAAGGTTTGACATCCAGCAACACAGAGTAGCAAGGCAGAGTAGATGGCCATGTGAAGACAGAAGCAGGGACTGGAGTGATGCAGCCACAAGCCAGGAACACCTGGAGTCACCAGAGACTGGAAGGGGCAAGTAAGAAGTCTCCCCTACAGTCTTTGGAGGGAGCATGACCCTGTTGACACCTAGATTTTGAACTCCTGGCCTCCAGAATTGTGAGATAATACATTTTTTGTTGTTATAGCAGCCCTAGGAAACTAGTACAGGTACATTGAAACTTCCATCTTCCCTGTCCCAGCAGATCCTTGCTACCACTCAAGCCTGCAGCCAGCAGTGCAGGTAGGGAGAATGTGGCTACACGGGCCACAGGTGGACCTGCAGGCAGGGCTATGAGAGCAGATCAGTTGATAAAACTTAGACATGTGGCATGAGGCCCTCCATTTGTGCTCTTGGCCTAGGCATGTTAGACATGGGCTTGCCCACTTAGCTAGTAGCCAGACATGCCCCTTACGCACAGAATGAATCAATCTAAGCCAAGAGAACAGACCTATAGATATAGACAGTCCTTGTTCTCTCTATGAAAAGGCCCAGCCAGGTCACCCTCCACTGAAGACTGCCTGTCAACAAGCTTTCCCTGGTAGCAATAACTTAACAGTGCTGTACTGTCTCACCTTAGATACAAGTGGACAATCAAACATCACAAGACGTTTGAGACAGGAAAGAGTTCTGCACCCATGATGACAAGAACACTGTGCTTTAAAGAATATAGAAAAACAACCGAAAGCTCTTAGAAATTAAAAATAGGAAGACAGAAATAAAAAATCAAATGAAGAATTGAAGATAAATTGAAGAACTCAGAAATAATCAAAGAGATGGAAAACAGAAGAGAAAATATAAGAATATCAGAGAATTGGGCCAGGAAATCTCCTCATGTCCAAAAAAAAAAAGAGTTCTAGAACCAGAGAAGAAGATAACAGATGGCAGGAAGTTTAAAAGCAATTATACAAGAAAATTTCCAAGGACTGAAAGATACCTGTTTTAAAAATGAAATACCCACCTAGTACCCAGCCCGATGGATGAAAAAGACCCGTATTTTTGTATATCTACATAAAACAATCTGTAAGCTATAAAATAACACAGATTCATATTTACTGACATAGAAATATTTTCATGACATATTGTTAACAGAAAAAGCACGCTTCAAAACAGTTGTGTATAATCTGAACCTATTTATGTAAATATAAAGTTACATAAAGAGACATGTGGAATTAAAAAAGCCCAGAAGAATGGCTCCCAAGACATTAACAGGAATGTTCCATGGGTGGTGACACATCCTGGGCATTTACTTTCTTTTTTATACTTCTTTACATTAAGTGTATTCTACATGAACATATGTCACCAAAAAGAACAATACAAAAGTAAGCTTGCCTCTGTCCTCTCTTTTATTCCTTTCCTTGTCTGATCAGTTGCCATGTCCTTTTTTCCTGTTCCAGCACTGTATTTGTATCGATCTCTTATATCTTTCTTTTGGCTAGCTAAATCTGTGTGAGCTCCAGATGTTTCTGAATGCCTCCTACATAGCCCCACTTGGGAATCTCTCTCTCAGATATCTGAATTAACCTGCCCTAAAATGAATATAGTTGTTTGCCCCCAAGCTGTTCCCACTTCGTGTCCCCCCCACCCCTTCTCGGTTAACCGCATCCTGTTCTATCTATCCAATTGCTCAAAGCAGAAAAGCCTGGGGCATCATCCCTGCCCCTAACCAACTCTGTACCTCCATCCCACTACTCTCCTGTTGACCCTGCCTATAAATGCCTCACAAACGTGCCCCCGTCTCTCCTCCCCTATGGCTTCTATGCCATTCATTTTGTCATTCATTCAGCAAATATGGAGTGGTGCCTCCCGTGTGCCAGCCACTGGGTTAAGAGCTGGCATTCAAGGGTGAGAAAGACAAAGTACCTGTTCTCATGAATAGGACCTTGTGTTCTAGAGGAAATGATGCACAATAAACAAGCAAACAAAACAAATGCCTAATGAAGTA